TGGCACTCCGTAACCTTTGGTTATTACTATTTTAGTATTTGTTGCTCAGCGTATACGTCCAACTAATGGGCTTTTTAAAGTGGTTTGATGTTTTCATACGTTAGTTAGACTGTTAACTTGCATGGTCGTAAATCAACTGTCCCGGTGAGTTGTGTTCGCCAAGTAGTTTTCTTTCTGTTACGCCGGAAAAGAAAAGAAGTTTGATTTGTAGCAGTTTTTACGAGAATTAAGTCAAATTGTCTTAAATTGTTCCGCACCTGACTAGATTTAAACATGTCAAAATTAATCCGTGTTTCGTTTTTGCGCCTTGTTTGGCCTTTTTTTGCTCTCCCTTTGAAAACACCTGCCTAACAGGACTATGAAGGCTTATTTCACGTGTTCTTCTACCCTAATACGGTAAAATGCGCTAGATTCGCGCAAATAAACTTAAATGGTTGATTTCTTTTCCCTTGTCTCCAGCTACCCCCACGCCATCGACTGATTGTAATGGACAGCCGAGAACTGTGTCTGGGCAATGTTGCAGTATACCTTTTACTTACAATGGAGTGGTGTATAACTCTTGCACTGAGGCCAATCATGGCAGTCCCTGGTGTTCCTTGGATCCTGTTTATGGAGGAAACTGGGAAAATTGCGGTAAGTTTTGATGAAATGGTTCCTTATTTATCTTAACCATGTCGTTCACTGTGTTCTAAAATCCCCTTATTCAATGTTTGATTGTAATTCTAATTTGTACAGGTAATCACATGATTTCGAGTGCAATTTGGAATAAATAAGCACGAGTAAATTTTTTCAAAGGCTAACAAAATTGCACGAGCCCGTAGGGCGAGTGCAATTTGTGGTCTTTGAAAAAATTTACGAGTGCTTATTTATTCCAAATTGCACGAGAAAAATCATGTGATTACTTATTAATAATATTCATGAAAAAATTGCGAGATAGCTTTAAAATCTCTTTAATAGGGAGTCAACCCGCGTAAACTAAGCGCAAAAATAGATTATTCAAATGCTGCAAATACCATCACACGTGCACTCAAAACAACATTTTGCTCCATGTTTTTAAAGTTTGCAAGCTGCAGAAACGGGCTGAACAGTTCATGGAATTGTTCAATGTGTTTGAAATAAAGATTCTGGGTTATTAACTCGAGTTTACCGCTCTTCCAGAGAATTTCTTCTTCCTCCTCTGATACTTGCCAAGCTTTGTTTGGGTGCTTATCACAGCCAGCCAAGCGAAGCTATTTCGCTTTTTCCTCCAACACCTCTTTGGACGAACTAAAACTCGGTCACCTACAATGGACAGGGTGCAGCCTTTGTTCTTTAAGTGTCTATCAAGCGACGCCTTCATTACTTTAAGGCTTTCTGGTTCATAATCTTTAAAACCCTTTTTGTACTGTTTACTTCAGCGTAGAAATGCTCGAGCAAAGTGTTAAGCTCAGCCGGCTCATAATTTTCTATGTCATCAGTAATTTCCTTACCTACGCACCAATTCTTCCAGAAAGAGAGCCAAAAACCAGTGCTTTTCGCAGTGTTTTCGTTTTTAGAGCAGTTTTTCAGCTCCTCTACAGTTGTTTCGGTCGTAAAAGCAAATGTGCTGCAATCGCCAACCATTGCGGTTTTTGCTCGAAACTGGTCCGGAGCGGATCCAAATTTTGCGCCATTTAGATGGCGCATTTGATTGGCTCTCAGTGAGTTCCTTTGTTTATTAGCCAATCAGAATGTCACATTTGCTACTCTTTTCTGCACTCAATTACCTTTCTTCTGCACTGTGTTACCTACAAACTGCATTCCTGTTAGCCAATCACAATCGAGAAATGTTTTCATTTATATTATTAAAAATTTAATAACATCTGTAAACCTCAAGCATGCTAGTCTGGCCAGCCAAAATATTGTTTGAAAAAAAAATCAATACACGTTGTCATCAACTTTGCAGTAGTCTTTGAACTTCTCGTTTTTTCAGCCCAACATCTCGCCCCATGTATTAAAAAGGGAATCCAAGACGTTCTGGGATTCTGGATTCCACGGCGTCGGTTCTGGATTCCAGGTACTGGATCCGGATACTTTGTCAGTGAAACTTAGATTCAGGATTTTGAATTCCAATTGAAAGCGGAATTTCGGATTCCTTGAGCTGTATTCCTGATTACAAACCACAGGATTCTGGATTCCAAAGCAAAAACTTGTGGGATTCCAGTTTCCGCAAATAAAACTTTCTTGGATTCCGGAATCCGGATTCCCTTACATGAGACAAAACATCTTCCATTTGTTCACTATAAATCCGTTTTTTTCACAAATGGCCCATTAAAAAGCCTGCATGGAATTAACAGTTACAATAAATTTGATTAAATATTACTAAATTATTTGTAATACTATAATTCTACCTGGCGTTATGAAAACCGGGTTGGCAAACATTTTGTAATTTTTCGCAACTTCCCTTGTCTACTAGGTTGACAAATGTTTACTGTGTTGTTTGCTTATGTCGTTTTTTTTGGGCTTGTTTTGTGGCTAGGGATTTGTGTAGAAGTGGATGTAGACAGAATTACTATCTTACCCCCCCCCCGATTTTTTTCCCTACCCACAATTCTTTTTTTAACACAAGCGCCTAAAGCTGGTTTCGGTGCCGTTTAGCAGTTTAGTTTTATATATTGGTCACCTTGAGAAAAGTTTCCCGGAGAGCATCATGTAAAGCTCTGAGATGGGACAAAGTTATTACGATTCGCAGAGTCTGCTTCGTCCAATATCGTATCATATTCTCGTTTCATTTGGCTAAACGGATCAGTCACCCTGATCCGGGCTGAGACAGAAAGGTACGATATTGTTCGCTTTTCTAGGATGACCACTAAGTCTTTGGCCTCGGGAACAGGCTCTTAGGAGTCAAATGAATTAGGTGTGAGCAAAATTGCTAGTGAACTCTGACCCGGGCTAAGACTTTTTTTCTCGTGTGAAAACAAGGCTAAGGTGATCCGCCGACCGTGTGACTCTACATCTAGGAACTTTGATAAGACGAGTGTAAGAGAAAATTCCAGAGGTGTTTATCTGGCAGTAGGCTGAGTTTTTCCGAGTTTGATGATAATTCGCGTATGTTAAACGTGAGAAGATTGTCCGTGGTTGTGGATAGTCTTATCAGTGCCGCGAATGTGTGTGATTGTGTGGTTTCCGCATGGTGTTGACAGGTATGTAATCGCGTGGTTGAACTGCGGTTTCGCCAAAATATTCTGTGCCAGCCATTAATATTGTTTCGTTGGTGTCTAGCTTAGTTAATTGTACCTTGGAAAAGTAACTCTCCACTCAGGAAAATTGAATCTAGGTGTAGTTTCAGCGGGCTCTAATGGCATTGCACCATAGACCAGTTTTTGCAGATAAGAAGGTGATAATTTGTGTACCATGTTTGAGTCAGTTTGTTGTCTATTCCATGCGGAATCCTGTTGTTTATCTGACCGCTAAAAAGGTGGTGTTTTGCTAATTATTTAAGTCGTTATGTACAGGGTGTTTGAAAAGTTCGTTCCGATTGTAAATTGTATTTTGCGCGTAGAATAGAATGCTTCCTTAGGCACGGCAAATGTTAACTGATTCAGGTAGGAAATTTATCTAAAGAACCGTTCAAAGCAATTTCAAACTAAAATTTGAAGAAATTATGATATTTTTTAAAGTTTTTCCCCAAATGTGCACGTACGCGAATTTTTTCCCGCCATATTTTTCCTGCCCATTTTGTAGGTTTTCTATTTTCGTTTTTGGGCGTTTTCTTTTGTTTTCTCTACTCTTTCACGAAAATGAAGGCGTACACTGTTTGTGCTAGAGCTCAGGCATCTATTTTTACGGTACTCTGTCCATTTAGTCAAAGAAATTGTCAAATTGTTGAAGAAGTCAGAACGATGAGAGAACAAGTGGACAACTTTCTGAGGACCAGCGCCAGGCGCTGAATATAGTTCGAGAGGGACATGATATCTTTATAACAGGCCAGGGTAGTATTTTTTCAGCAGGGTAGGGTGGCTTTGGGCAAATGATGTAACGGTCCCCAGAAAGTTCACCTCAGGACTCCCGGGATGGAATTTTTTGTAGAGTGCTCAGGTCTCATTTTCTTGGCCGCGCGTTGATCTGGCTCGGCTGCTTCGGCGAGCATATTCTCGGTCTGTTTGAATTATATCCTTCGAGTTTGTCAAAGTCTGTGGGATTCGTTTGTCTATCTGGGAAAGCTTCATTGGTTTCTATGTCTGCTGCTATCCTATTTCTTTCGATCCTCGCATGTTTATTTCCGTCGGAGTTCGAATTTCGTGGAAAAAGTTGTGTTGAATGAGAGCATGTCGGCGAAAATGGCATCTCTTGTCTCCTACCTTGTATATTATTATTGTGTATAGAGTGAATTTGAACAAATTACTGCAAATTATCACGAAACTTCGTTGGAGCAATAAGGACAACAACAATTAACTGCAGAGTAAGTTTCATTGATCTTTATTGAGTATTTCCTAGAAATTTTAGGATGGTATTTTTTACCCCATAAAAACACGGTAATTTTACTGGAACCGTACTGTGGTACTATCACAGAGCCTTGGTTACCTGTGCTAGGGACCACTAACTTACTGCCCGGTGTCAGATAAACGCTTTTAATCGCCCTTTGAATGAGTTTTGTTGTTTTAAATTACATTACGGAACGGCCCCTGTAGATCCGTGTCGCCCGCAAAATCGCGGGTCCCATGACTATTTGTGCGCTCACAAAGGAAGCCGATGCATGTCGCGACCTTTGATTCAAGACCCAAGTGTTAGGGTATTGTTTCCACGATACAAAGGTAATTTAACTTAAAAAAATCTATAAATCGAAGCTTTCGCGCTACATAAATATTTTGAATTCATAAGATATTTTAAATCTCTCCACCCCAAAACACACCATGTTTTCCTTTTTGCGATGAGATATCTAAACAGTCGTGTAAAACTGCCCCAGCGAAAAATCTGCTTGAGCACTTACCCAATTTTTGTACCCATTTCATGTTGTGCTCATACAACTTGTCTCAACAAGCTATGGTATATTCTCAGATGTTGACGAATGTGTAGATGGGACTCACAACTGCGACTCAAACGCTCTGTGTAGCAACAGCGTTGGCTCGTTCACATGTGCCTGTTTCCAAGGATACTCAGGAAGTGGGACAGTCTGTTCTGGTAAGTTAAAGGGTTAACAATGTCCTAGTGATCAGGTGATCATATTGGCCTCATAGACGTTGTACGTGTGATGGAGTCCGTGTTGTATCAAATTGCAGTATGGGACTGTTTTGGGAACAAAATTCCTACATAACAACAATCTGATTGGTTTGCAGGAAGCGGCTGTGCCTCCCCAAACAATCCCGCAATGCAATTCGACACATTGCCGACCCAGTCTCTCGCACAACCTTAACAAAAACTAAAAAGCACTTAATTTGGGTGTTAATTATTTCGGCACTTAAGTACTAATTAGTAAACTATTATTACGTCTTGTACTGGAGACGGGACGTCATCCGAGTCATGCGGAGGTCTAGCCGTTTACGGGGCAAAGGCAATACCTTCATTTCTCAGTTATTTTAAGACCGTTTGGATTGGTCCCGCCCTGGGAATCGATGCTAGTCCTCCCGCTCTTCAGCCAATTGTTCTACCGACTGAGCTAATACAGCGACCGACTGAGCCAATACAGCGTCGGTTCAAAAATATCAATTGAATATTCACCTAAGACTACTGAGGAAAAGAAACCACCCTTTCAAAAGTGTTCAGTTAAGACACCACCTAGGATTTAAGATTGAAAATGTAACTAAAAGTTAATAGTAACTGCCTTGTCTTATCTTGGTATTTGAAATCTGAACTGAGATTAGCTAGATTAGTTGCACCGCCACGTTTAAGAAAAGGCATTGTTTCATCGAGGTGTCAATCTATGTTTCACTATAATAATTATGAAGATAGGTTTTGTTGGTATTGATTATTAATATGTCATGATTAAGAGCCTTAAAGGCTTCATAAAATCCGTTTCATTTGTTTCTATAGCTTAAATAACACGAAATGTGACTAGATATTTCTGTTCATGGTATTTTCAAAACTCCATTTCATGGCCATAACCATCAACCATCCAAATCATCCATCCAATGACCATCAACTGGCGTGATGCAACTCCCTTTGACTCTGAAGACAATTAACGCACAGAAACGTCAGTCATGCACTGTCAAAAACAGTTCTTTCATGGACTACGCTCACTCGGACGGTCACACGCCAAACCTTTCACAGTTTTACCATTTTTTTTGTGTTGTAACAGATATTGATGAGTGCACAACAAATGCGCACAACTGTCACTTAGATGCGACGTGTAGCAATACAGGTGGTTCATTCACTTGTAGCTGTAATCAAGGTTACTCCGGGGATGGAAAACAGTGCGACGGTATGTTTGTAATCTTAGTATCAAGAAAACGGAAGATTCCATGTTAACCCTGGTGTTGCGGGAAGGGGAGAATTGTGTGGCGGGGTGGTGGTTGCCAAGCGAATATTAAGGTTTTTCTTCGTTATTTCAAAAATGACGTTCTGCAATCGTATCTTTTTTACTTATCGGTAACCCTTTTTGCATATTAGGTAAACGAAGCGCACAAATGAAAAACGACTTTTAAAAACAAATTTTAACTTTTACTTTTTTAACAAATTTTAACTAGCTTTTGACTGTTGGATTGTAAATGTTGCTTCGAATAATTTTAGTTTACCTCCTAAAATAAACATTTCAATTAACTGTTCTGTCTTTCGTTTAAACAACATTTAGCCTGTTTTTGTTTTCTATAGTATATTCCAAACCCGATAATAGCGGAGTGTTCGCGCGTGCGGCGGAGCCCCATTGCTAAGATAAATTTGTAACCTGTGAGAGCAAGAAAATTCGTTTATGACGTAGCGTACGAACGCCGACCGTCCGTTCACCCACTGCATGTAGGCCGATGCCAAATTTAAAGTTATTATGGCGGGAAAGCGTATGGCCACCCACGTCTTGTGAAGCAGACACGACTAAAGAGTCAATAAAGACGAGAACGGAAAGCGGAAAATGTTTCCGTATCCGTGTTGTCTAAAGTATTAAGCTTAGATTAATTGTCATGTCCGCAAATGTGGAATATAGAGAAAGAGAATTGAAGACAGAGAAAAAGAGAAATTAGGGCGAGAGGCCAGCAAACTCAACGCCGGAGATATAGAGCTAGAGCTAGAGAGAAAAAACAAAGGAGACAGACATTTTTTTTGGAGGAACAACATGAAATTTGTAGCAGCGGTGAGAAAATGAGCAATGCTAGCGGCAACCGGGGTGAAAAGAACGATAGTGAAAGAAAAAACAAAAAACAAAAAAAACAAAACAAAACAAAACAAAAACGCGTACGACTTTTCCTCTATAAATCGTGTAACGAGGAAGTTTCTGGAAGTTTCACGTTGTAGTCGTGCAAAACAACGACAAAGAAATGGACGTAAAAAGTGTGCTGCACTTGTAAAGTTGCTTTTTCTACTAATTAGACCTATTGTTGTGTTTTCACCGTTCTCGTTGCCTTCGCCGCTTAGCATTACAGGATTTGATATTTTGTTTGAACAAACCATAAATACTATCAAGAGCTTCGCTTTAGCCCTTACTAAATCTGTATATTACAGTGTGTCCAATTAACCTTATAAAATATAGGTAGTGTAGGTGGGCCCTGGGTTATTTGTTTGGGAAGAATTTGTTTTCCAGGCCTAATCTATTGTGATCAAGAGCTATTGATTATGGCTCTTGACTCACCGAAGATGATTGTTAATTTTTGGGTGCATATATAAGACTATTAAGTCGATGTAAGCTTTGCTTCTGACTGTTTGCAAATAATTTTTCTCTAAAATCACTAAGCCTTTCCCTTAAAAGTCACATGAATGTGGCCTAATGTGTTTGATTTAAATTATAGATTTATTAATGGGAGCTTGGGTTTTAGCCCTGGCTTAATATATATATATATATATATATATATATATATATATAAGTTTTATCATGTCAGATGCAAAAGTATTGAAACCTCGATCTTTAATGTAAACGGAAACAGCTTACCGGACCCGTTAATTATAGGGACCTTCGAGAAAGGGGCCCCAGGACCCATCTCACTTGTAGACCAAAATAAGGCCCGCAAGGCTAAAACAAACAGTGCTCATGACTGTCACGCAGAAGCAGTCTGTAGCAATACAGATGGTTCATTCACTTGCAGTTGTAACCAAGGATAAACATTCTCAATTTCTGTATAAACTTTATACTTTCAGTTTTAAATCTCTCCACCCCACAGCACACCATGTTTTTCTTTTTGCAAGGAGATGTCTAAACAGTCGTGTAAAACTGCCCCAGCAAACAATCTGCTTAAGCACTTACCCAATTTTTGTACCTATTTCATGTTGAGCTCATACAACTTGTCTCAATAAGTTATGGTATATCCTCAGATGTTGACGAATGTCAGGATGGGACTCACAACTGCGACTCAAACGCTCTGTGTAACAACAGCGTTGGTTCGTTCATATGTGCCTGTTTCCAAGGATACTCAGGAAGTGGGACAGTCTGTTCTGGTAAGTTAAAGGGTTAGCAATGTCCTAGTGATCATGTGATCATATTGGCCTCATAGAGGTGGTACGTGTGATGGAGTCGGTGTTGTATCAAATTGCATTATAGGACTGTTTTGGGAACAAAACTCCCACATAACAACAATCTGATTGGTTTGCAGCAAGCGACAGTGCCTCCCCAAACAGTCCCGCGATGCAACTCGACACATGGCCGACTCAGTCTCTCCCACAACCTTAACAAAAACTAAAAAGCACTTAATTTGGGTGTTAATTGTTTAGGCATTAATTAAAAGTACTAATTAGTAAACTATTATTACGTCTTGTAGGGACGTCATCCGAACCACGCTGAGGTCTAGCCGTTTACGGGGCAAAAGCAATACCTTTATTTCTCAGTTATTTTAAGACCGTTTGGATTGGTCCCGCCCTAGGAATCGATGCTAGTCTTCCCGCTCTGCAGCCAATTGTTCTACCGACTGAGCTAATACAGCGTCGGTTCAAATATATCAATTGAATATTCACTTAAGACTACTGAGGAAAAGAAACCACCCTTTCAAAAGTGTTCAGTTATGACACCACCTAGGATTTAAGATTGAAAATGTAGCTAAAGGTTAATAGTAACTGCCTTGTCTTATCTTGGTATTTGAAATCTGAACTGAGATTAACTAGATTAGTTGCACCGTCACGTTTAAAAAAAGACAATGTTTCATCGAGGTGTCAATCTATGTTTCACCATAATAATTATGAAGATAGGTTTTGTTGGTATTGATTATTAATATGTCATGATTAAGAGCCTTAAAGGCTTTATAAAATCCGTTTCATTTGTTTCTATAGCTAACACTTACTAACTCCATTTCATGGCCATAACCATCAACCATCAAAATCAACCATCCAATGACCATCAACTGGCGTGATGCAACTCCCTTTGACTCTGAAGACAACTAATGCACAGAAACGACAGTCATGCACTGTCAAAAACAGTTCTTTCATGGACTACGCTCACTCGGACGGTCACACGCCAAACCTTTCACAGTTTTACCATTTTTTTTGTGTCGTAACAGATATTGATGAATGCACAACAAATGCGCACGACTGTCACTTAGATGCGACGTGCAGCAATACAGGTGGTTCATTCACTTGTAGCTGTAATCAAGGTTACTCCGGGGATGGAAAACAGTGCGACGGTATGTTTGTAATATTAATATCAAGAAAACGGAAGATTCCATGTTAACCCTGGTGTTACGGGAAGGGGAGAATTGTGTGGCGGAGTGGTGGTTTTCAAGCGAATATTAAGTTTTTTCGTCGATATTCAAAAACAATGAGACGTTCTTCAATTGTATCTTTTTTACTTATCGGTGACGCTTTTTGCATGTTATCACCGAGGCCGATAAATTAAATTTAAATATTGCAAACTCCTCATTACATCACTATATCTGAATAAGAAAATACATTTACATCCTGCAAATAACACCAATGAAATGACATATATGAAATAAAATGTTTGCTACTAGAGTTAACTGAATTTAGACCAAGGCAATTTCTTTCCAAACGCTTTGACCTTAGCTCGAACAGCTGCGAGGTTTGAAGTGTGGACTCCCTCCTGAAGAAGGGTATTATATACAAAAATAGCAGATGGAAAAAAGGAAAATTTACATTCATCAGTTCGCGCAGGGAGGTGATTAAGTTTCATGACCTGAAAGCGTTTTGTTTGAGAGACTTCGAGAGGTCTACACCGTTAAGATTCTTGAAGGCCTTAAACATAATTTTTAGTCGGTGACACTTGCCACGCGTAGAAAATAATGGCCAATCTCGGGCAGCCAGCATACAAGACTGCTCTGAAGTTGCGGTAATAATCGCTAACGAAGAGGATAGCTCTCCTCAGTGCTTTTTTCAGACCCTCTTTTCTGTTCGTGTCTTCCTCAGTAAGATTTTAGCAACATTAGTTGGTTTTTTTTATAGTAACGACATATGACTTCATAAGTGCTATGATTCTTTGACATTTTTTAAGCAAAAAGGAATATGTGAATCAGCAGCAAAGCTGCAAAATGTTTGATTAACACATACTTTATAACTAAACTGAATTTGCAATAAAACGGCAACCAGGAAGACAATACTGTACGACACCATATAGAACAATACAATAGAACATAACACAGCTCAATTTACTTATGAAAAAGGCTGCTTTTACACATCTAAGGTCAAAGGTCCAAGGATGGAGATATGGAGAACTATCCTGAAAAGGAATTATCATTGAAAAAAGAGTCTTTTTTAATCACCGCATCGGGAATGTCTTAGACATCATTTTGTAATATGCAGATTCAAATACATCCTAGTTTTTAATCCACGCCGGCTATCTTTGAAAAGTGTTAAAGGTAATTAGTATTTTGTTAGATATTAACATATGCTTTCCCACACAGATATAGACGAATGCGCATCTGGGACACATAACTGTGACGCAAACGCTCAGTGCAATAACACAATTGGTTCTTTTACATGCAACTGTTTTCAAGGATATTCAGGAAACGGTGTGGAATGTTCTGGTACGTTTGTTGGCGCATGAGCACTTTATATACTTGTCCGAGATGACAAGCGCCTCCTTCATTTAAGGGTAATATCTTATTTCAATCAAATATACTATTATACTCTATCAAGAAATTATTGTGCAAGCTCTGCAAACTGAACACTACTGGACGTCAAACCGCAGATATGAACGACCAATGGATCTGCGTTTGCCTCATCAGGCTACATCGTGACAAGTACTGAAAGCATAAAACACCTATATTGATCTATAACTTCGATCATGAATAACGCGCGGGCAGATCATGACAATTCCGCCTTTCCATAAGAAGTTTTTTCAAATGTTTTATACGTCTGAATGTATAAAGTTAAATCAAATGCAACCACACTCGGCACCATTATCAAATTTCAAAACACTAGATAGTGGCTTTAAAAATCAAGTTTCTAAAGCCGACTTTCTGCTGTTTGGATATCTGATGTTTTTTTCACTGTTAAAAGTATGTAATTCAAAGAAAATGTCGACAAAATGTTAGAGTCACTTGTTCAAATGTTGGAAAGGATAGCAACCGTTCTCACTTCGTGAACTATAAATAGGGTCCAGTCCCTTTGTTTTTTAATTTTAGATATCGATGAATGCTCAGCAGTAAGTCACAATTGTCATGGAGTGGCAAACTGTCACAACACAATCGGCTCATTCACTTGCAGTTGTCGCAGCGACTACACTGGGGATGGTCTTGTCTGCGAACCTGTAGGTAAGGAGTTGTAGTGTATAATGGTATTTTGTGATTTATAAAATGAATCATAACTGTCAGATTCCACCTATATATTCAGTTCTATTATGATTATCTGTAGTCAGAGATCACAGATAAAGTGAAAATGTGGTACGAGAAAAAAAAAGGGCAAACAAGCCAAAAGACTGTGCGTCAGTGATTTTCTTACTTTATTTTGTCTTTTTTTTTTTCACGGGACAGCCACGTGGAACAAATTTTGTTTCCTGTTAACAACAGGGAAAATTAATAGCTCCACATGTTTTCATTTTCTAATTAACAGGGGACTTCACCGTGGTCATCGTAGATATGTCCAAGGACAAATATAACGCTACTGTTGTCCAGCGATCTGTTCAAAGTGTGCAACAAGCACTGATTGAAGGTTTACCAGAAAATGCGCCAGTGTTGCAAAGTGTGTTGCAATGGCGTCTGGTGAGTGAAGCTGAATTAGCAGCTTCAGAGTCAGCAGAAGGAACCTTAGAAAGAGAAGGAAGCAGTGAATGGATTATAAATAGGAGATCTATACCTGTGGGAATCTACCAAGTCAAGTTCACTGCGTCTTTTCAAATTGGAGATTCAAGTGCTCCACAGACTATTCAGGCGTTCAACTTCGGTTTTATTGAGGTTATTACTGCACCTCTACGAGCCATCATTGACGGTGGCAGCAGTGTTCGTTGGGGATCAGCAGAAACTGTTACAGTGGATGGTTCACTAAGCTACGACGGAGACATTGGCCCTGGTAATCATGATGGAGTCGAATTTACTTGGTACTGCCGTGAGGCAATTGAAAATGGTTCAGTGAACAATGATTGTTTTGGTGCCTTTGTTGATGGAGCAAATGCCCTCGCAGTTAGTATTGACACCAGTGTACTTGATATAGGAAAGACGTATGTCTTATGTTTAAATGTGTCCAAACATGTGAGGAGTGCCTTTGCTGAGATGACTTTTGAGATAGCAGCCGGAGAGATACCTCAAGTAAAACTGAGGTAAATGTGATAATGTAATTGATCAGGACGCTGTAAACGCCTTGAATACAACAGTAAGTCAAGCAGCCGAAATATTGTCTAAAGAAAGTCTTTGACACTACATTTTTATTTTAATGGTATATGGCCAATTCAGTTAATTGGCTTTGCTTGTCTTGGAAAAAATTATTGAAATGAATAAAGAATTAAATAGACTAATTGAAAACAGATATAGTAGTAACAATAAAAAGAGGCAAAATATTTTCGAGAGATGCAAATCATCCTTATCGCTCAGTTTCATGCTACCTCTGAAATAATTGTTTTAACAGGCTGAAAACGAAACGTAACTACGTTTGATATCAAATTTATTTTGTTTAAAGGTGCTTTGTAGACTGTGGAACCATAGTCTCGGCTTCAAACAAGCTTCGAGTGACATCGGAGTGCTCCAATGCTCCTTGCGATGATTCAGTCTACCAATGGCGGCTACAAAAGAAAAATGATTCAACGAATACACTGGAAGATGTTACTATTTTCCCCAATATGACTTCAACAGCATTAAATGCGAGTAACATGATATTCAAGAAGGACGTATTGCCCTCAAACACAAAATTTACTCTAAAGCTGATTGTGACTTCGCGATCAGGGTCACAAGGGTTTGGTGTATTGGATTTTGAGACCGCTGGAGCGCCACACAGCGGGCATTGCACGCCATCGGTCAGCGAAGGCGTCGCACTTGAGACAGAGTTCATCTTTGAGTGTTTGAATTGGGAAGATAAAAGTAAGCCTTTAAGCTATGAATTTCGCGTTGGAGACGATCCAATTTCTTATGGAAACTCTCCAAAGTCTGTTCCAACGGTGTTACCAAGTGGAAAACCAGAAGATCAACACAGAGTGCAAATAACGATTATTGTTAAAAACTTTGTTGGTGTGGTAGTTACAGAGACAGTGTTTGTTAAGGTACTAACACAGTTGTTACTTATATTTTTAGGCTTTTAACTCTTAATATTTCCCCCCATAATCGAAAACAGAGAGAATCGGTACATTTGCGACAACTTACGCCATGTTCTTATTTCCCGAAACTCGGCACATTCCTTTGAGCGGTAGCTCTGCTTGACAAACCGAAATATGAAGGAAACCACTATAAGGTTGTTATGGATCAGGTCTTGGCTATGCCGAAAGAGCATATAGCCGCTACGCACATTAAAAAATAAATTGCAATAATACAGTAACAAGAAAATATATGTTATGCCCAGCAAAGGTGTAGGACACGAACCGCTAAGCCGCAATATGAAAAAACGCATTGCTTATCCTTTTACAGGTTAAGCCATCCTCCAAATTTAACCCCTGCTATACACCAATAGACGAAGTATCCAATATGCTAAATGCCCTTATCGCGGTGAAGGACTGTAAGTTGGATGAACTTTTAAGAAAAGGTGAAATCAGCCAGGCTTCACAGCTTGCATTAACTGTCTTGAAGACAGCCAATGAGACGCCAGATTGTGGAAAAGGCTTAAGCATAGAAGTAAAAACTTCGGTAAGTAAAATAATGGAATTGATAAAGGTTTTTACCTTTTAAGAAGGATGAAGGATGTCACTGGGCACTCATTGCATGGATCACGACGAGGCTTGAGAAATCTGAGAATTGATAAAATGCGTACAGGGCACTTTAGTAGCAGAATTTATCATTAGTACAACAAAAATATTCCCTTGGAATGGCTATTAGTAGCTCTGATTTAAGCAGTGTAATTGGGCAGTAAGAGTCATCGTGAGCGACACGTCCTCCGATGTGGGCACTACACAGTCCCTTCTAACGATGCTGATAGAAGGCTTTAGTAAGATTATGCTTTCATGTTCAAGTAGTATGACAGGGATGTTTTACTCCTTTTTTTCCTAAGGAAACTCATTAAATTATAGTAGAAACCCCTTATCAGTTTTTCCTTGCGGAAATATAAAAATGCGGTGGAATGGCATGAAGATAAGGTCAT